TACGTAACAGAATTTGTTTTGAGACACTAAATTATATCATAACCTAACAAGTATATAATTCACAAAAACTTGTTTAATGAGCCTATAACTGATTATAATTAGACAAATGGCAACAAAACGCAGAAAAGTTGATGCTAAGTGCAAAGGGTTTAATGGCGCAGAAAATATTCCAATGATCAGTCTCCCCGCGCTGCTTGAAATTTAACTGAAATCTGTGTGAAAAATGCGATTCATTGGCCATTCCCTTGGATTTTAACTTTTTAAAAATACGTGCGACACGCCAATGACTTGCAACCTTTAATCTTGGACCGCGAACGACAAAAGTTTGCCGACCCGTTTTAAAGCAATAATGGTGTACTATTATATATTGGGAATAAGTAATTTTGAACCGGAAAGTTTCGAGTATTTCCTAGAACAGTTGCACTTTGCGACGCTTGCACATGCACTTAATAAAATAATAAATACTGCCTATAAAAATGGAAATATTACTGGTCTTTCTTTCATTTTAAGGTATTTTAAACCAGTTTCCTAAATGTTAATTCTGCCGCAAAATACAGCGTGACATGACGTTTGTTTCAAAGCAGAGGTGTTGTACACTTTCGTCGGTGGGTGTCATAATCAACTTTAGACATCCAGTCGGGCAACAAAAATGAATGCCGACCTACTGGTTGGGAAGCACCGAGTTATGGTAACATCTAGTTCAGTGGTCCCCAAACTGGGGGGTGATTCCCCCCCAAATTGATAATTTGGCAATTTCAGGGGTAATCCAGACGTTCGCTGTTTACACTATTTCTTTTGTAATCTCGTACTTTTGACAAGACTGCGGTCCTAGTCACCATTTCGTAGACGTAGGGACATAATAACGCAGGTGTTGGTATCATTGTCATTGTTGGTCAAAGAAAAGTGATAACGATATGACTACTGTCTCTTCCATGAGAGAGGTGATGGAACTTTTGGTAATTCGATATAGGGGTAACAATATCAAAAAGTTTGTGAACAAATACTGATATTACCTCAACCTAAAATAAACAGGGTGAAAGGAAAAAAGATCTGGAAGGAACCTAACCTGAACGAACAGATCAAAAATTAGAGGCGGTACAATAACGGTATAGTACAGTGGTTCTCAAACGACAAGGGGGGCGTAGACATATTTTTAAGGGGGGGGGGTCGGATTTGACTTTTCCCGCCTTATTTTAGATATTTACATTTATTTATTTTGGATATTTACGTTCCATCCACGCATTTTCAACATGTTTTTTGAATGAAATATACTTTTGCCTTACTATTTGTTATTTGTAGCTTATTGTTAGCTAAGTATTTTTGAGGTTATTAATTATTTTAAGTGAGAATAGAATTTTACTGTACGCCCTATAACACAAAGCATTTCTTTGAAGTCCGATCCAACCAAAATCAGACTATCGCTAATTTTTTTTGTAATATGACGTAATACGACGATTACTCTCGCCTTTTGCGTCGAACAAGACAAGATAAAAGAAGTCACAGATATCTAACAGTATCTTGAAAATCCCCAAAAACTAGTATCGCATGGCTTATAGTTGGATATCGATAGCAGCTTTTGCACCGCCTTATTCAGAGCGAAAACTTGAATAATTTAAGATTCAGATTCTAAGTAACGAGGCAGCGGATGTCACGCTTCATTATGCAAAGGAGGCATTTCAGATATAAACAGCAAAGTATGACTCGATGAATAATATTACGAGACGAGACGTCAGGAGGGGCAAATGCAAGTAACTGGGTGAAACCCAGGGCCACGGGCCACACCTTTATTTAACATAGGCTTTCCAGTAATTGCAGGCACAACAATTCACGGCAAGACATATCGGCGTATCTCTAGTATTGGTACCGTTACGGCGAGACATATCGGCGTATCTCTAGTACCGGTATCGGTACGGCAAGACATATCGGCGTATCTCTAGTACCGGTACCGGAACGGCAAGACATATCGGCGTATCTCTAGTACCGGTACCGATACGGCCAGACATATCGGCGTATCTCTAGTACCGGTACGGCAAGACATATCGGCTTATCTCTAGTACCGGTACCGGTACGGCAAGACATATCAGGTTGGGGTTATGCCATAATTTTATTCCGATTTTCCTTATTTTAGTTCTATTACGAGTTTGGGGACTGTTTGCTTTAGTCAAGTGAATATCGCCCTGCACATAGGTTTCAGTCCCTTTACACAACTCGATGTAAAGTAGGCGAACAAAATTAGTTACCTCCATATTGGTATACACACACTTCTGGAGCGCCGGGAAATGTAGTTAGTATCACGTAACCCCATCTGATAGTGAATTGCGTATTAATTTTACAATTTTTTTAACATTAATCAAAACTTAAACCATCGGTGTGGAAGATATCCATTGCCGCTTGATTAGACAAGTCTTAAAATAACAACGGCGATCGTCAATGACAATTATTTCTCGTTGAAAGGAAACACGCGAACGTCGAGAGAGAGAAAAGAAATTCCCGTATCGGAATCTGTATACATATTAAGAGGATTGATGCACACTAATATAAATATACAATGTGTCCAAAAAAACTCCGTTCGATTTCATAGTGATAACAGTTAAAAATTTCTTTGTCTTTGTTTATTAATAGTTCCTATTGTGCTTGTTGTTCTCATTTATCATACAATAAAATTTATTTAAACTTAGAATTGTTATTTCGGGGCTCCCGAAGTATGCGAACCAAGATGGCGGACATCGGAATGTAATATGTGTACTAGGACCTAGGTTAGGGTTAGGCCATAATTTTAGGTATAAATACTACGGGAGGCTCTTGGCTAGTCTTCGAACTGATAATAGGACTAAAATAAGGAAAATTGGAAAAAAATTATCGCCTAACCCTAACCTGTTACCCATGTTACATTCCGATGTCCGCCATCCTGGTTCGCATACTTCGGGAGCACCGTTATTTCTATAAAAACATCCTCAGACATACATAAGTTAATTATATCAGTGGTCCAATTTTTTTTTTGAATTGAGTTCCCCCCTTGCCTATTTCTCCCTCGCTATTTAATAGATTCTTTGCTTGTGTTATTCGCAAATCGAAATCCCGCTTTTGTTCAGTCAAAGTGTTTTATTATGTGTTCATGAGGTATTGTAAGTATATATCGATTATCGTGTTAATATTAAAAAACTAATGCTACAAAAAATAGAAGGCGCTCCAGAAATGTGTGTACCATGGAGGTGTCTAATTTTGTTTGCCTACTTCACATCAAGTTGTGTAAAGACAATGAAACTTATGGGCAGGGAGTATATTCACTTGGCTAACACAGACAGTCCCCGATCTCGTAATAGAAAAGGCACAGACATACTGATTCCCAATTATATAAAGAATTATCTGTGGGTCACGTAAAATAGAATAAGAGTTCAAAAGTATATAGTTCAGCTAGACAAATAGGATTTAGACATCGATCTTAAAAAAACGATACCTGTTGAAAAAATAGGAAGTTTCACTAATATTTTATTGTAATTGCAGCAAGTTCGATGTTCAGTCAACCATGGGATAATATCATCATCAAATCACACGATTTTTCTTATTTAAATTACTATGAAATTGGAGTAAATTTAGATATTTTGTTAATTTTGTTAAAGGCCAAGACGGCTATTTTTATATATAAATTCGTATGCTAAATAACAAGCATGTACAATTTAATCGTTGTCTACCAAAAGTCTCGTCACGTAGACGGCCCATTTAAAATTATGTTCCTTCAGTTTAGACGTTTCCGTATGATTAATGTTAGTTTCATTATTCCAGCATAAATATTTAATTCTATAAACAGTATGAAGCTGGAATAGTTCTATCACCATAATTGCATCACAAAGAAAAACGTGGACATTATTTTGACAAGGGTCATCTTTTTCCGCGCGCGGGAATAAAATACCTAAAATATGAGAAGTGGGAGTTATACGTTGGCACGAATTGGCAATGAATATTTCATTATTACATCACAAACGAGGCGCCTCGTTGGCAGATCTGTCATAAGGAAACAGAATCGTTTCGGAAGCGTCCGCGATATTCATTCAGGACGGATAATTTCGGTCGGAAAGACGTCACATCAACTACCTCAGAAGACAGAAAAGTCCTCAGTTCGGAACCCCAAGGAGAAGAACGTGTCGAAGCCTAATATATCGTTTCGAAGACGTCCGATATTCTACTGGCAACGAAGATCTGCGTTTCGAAGGCGTCGGAAATCAGATAGAAGATTCGCGTTTCGAGGACGCCCGACATCGTTCTGACAAAGACGAATTGCGTTTCGAAGACGTCCAAAACTGCATTCTGAACAAAAATCCGTTTTGTTCCGACAGAAAGGTCAAGGGGCATTAAAGAACTGGATTTCATTGAGGAACATTGCTTCGTTCAAAACTGCTTCAGCCCCAATTTTGAGAAAAGTCAGCGAAAACTTGACAAAATAGTTGTTTTGAAAAATATACAACGAAAAGTAGGAAAAGCGAAATTTCGTGTTTCATCGAGACATATTAAACTGAGCAAACCATTGCGGAACCGCGGATGTCATAAAATTCAATCGATAATTGGCGGGGGAAAGACGACGGTTAAATCCATAATATTTTGATATCAAATGAATCATACTTCAGTTCAAAAAGCCGAAAGTAGCCAACATAAAGCGGGATTTATATAAATCAAAAAGCGAGATAACTAATTGTCATCATCATCAAAAAGGCGGGAAAATATCTTGATTATAATTGTGATGTAATAATTGTAAAATATTACAGCGATTTCCACATACAAGGATAATTCAGGCTCAAGCTGAACGACAGCGCCTAACCGCAGTCCGATCGATATTCCAAAACTTTTCGGTAAAAGGCAAAGATATCGCCAGGAAAAATCGAAAATTCCTATTTTAAATCAGAAAGCGCATTAAATGGGGACATTTACTTTAAGAATACTTGAAAACGTTATCAGAGGCGCGAAAAAAAGCGCACCGAAAATTACCTAACCAAACAAGAACACTTCGGAAAAGGCTGTCACAGACAATATACAAATAAATTTGGGCTGCGGTGAGATCGCAGACTTGAAGTCGATAAGAAAATGTGGACCGCGTAAACAAAGTGGCTTCATACAGAAAGATCGGAATTATTCGAAAATACTTCGAATTCGAATAAACTTCAAGAGGAGGGAAAGAATTATAAAATAAAAACCGAAATATCGAGTCGAATTTAAAAGAGAACCAAGAAAACCTGACGAGAAATTCGGATTCGAAGCAAACAGAAGACAAATAAAAAATTCGAAGAAACTCGAACCGAACTTTGCCGAACTCAACCCACATCAAAAGATTCGAAATTCACATCGAGAAGAACACGAAGCAAACGAATCCGACTACTTCGAAATTTTATCGTCATACTGGAAGCCTCCTTATGGCGTCAATAGTGTGGTGGTGTTAACGACACAGCCAACTGTGTGCAAATGAAACAACAACCGGAATGCCCAATGGATTGCGACTGTTACGACGATTTTCAGGTAAACACTGAATTAATAACGCTTAATTCTAACATAGTTCTTCTAACCACTATTTTTTAACAAGCGAAGGCCATAGTCAAAAATATAAGATGTAAAGTTGAACCGAATAATCTTAAATTGGGAAGACACTGATTCTGTCAGTCAGGACACCTTGGTCTATGCCAGCGGTCCTCAAACGGGCCCCGTGGCCCTTCGAATGGGCCACAGAGCAGTCAGAGGGGAGCCACAATGCTAGGCGCAAAACTCGTTTGTAAATTCAGTCCAAATCTCTCTGTTATTCATAGTTTCATTGCTTGATAAGGTTATTTCACAGGGTGTTTTCACTTTGTTGAGCATGAATTGTTTGAACATAATGGGATTTGGAATCTACCAATCAAAATTTAATGATAAACAGGGGGCCATGAGTGCCAAAAGTCTCCGAAAAGGGGCCACAAGCTAAGAATGGGAACCACTCGTCTAGAGACTCTTTCCGAGCAAAACCATTCAATGTATTACAGGAGATCTACTGTGACAGCAAAGATCTGCGGATGATTCCCCCGGATATACCAATAATGGCGCGAAAATTAAGCTTACGTAACAATAACATCGATGAATTACGCCACAAATATTTTCAAAAACTCTGGCGCCCTGGAAGAATTAGATTTGAGCGGGAACTCAATTGTGGAAATACCGGTGAGTTGAAATTTATTGTGACTCAATAATATTCGTAATATGACATCATAATTCCCCAAAATTTCACATTTATTCAATCTAAAAGGACACTTTTTCTTCTGCCACGCTTGTCCGCGATATTTTCAGTAAAATCGAACGACGTGCCCAGCGAAGGCCGTACTGGTACCGATGCGGTACCGTCGTCTATAAATATCTGAGCATTGCACTCTTATTATATGTCCAAGAATTATTCATAATTATTCTGAGACCGACAGGATCGATATTTCACTCATAATTTAGGTACCGAAGTATGTGAACCAAGATGGCGGACACCGGAACGTAGTATGTGTACCAGGTTAGGGCAGGCCATAATCGCAGGTACAAATACTACAGGAGTCACTTGGCTTGGCCATAATTTTGATGTTTTATTTCAATCCATGGGAACCCTTTTAATTCCGTCAAGCTTGTCCGGCTATTTTTTAGTTGAAAGCAGCGGTTCACAAACGGAGATTCGTTAACTGCGTCCCGAAAATTAACATAACCAACATATCATTGAATATTTTACATATTATTATCTTTGTTTTATTGTTTCTTATTTTGAATGTTGCCTTTCTATGTCGTTACTTTCTGTTACGATCACAAAATTGAGTTTTATTCAAAGTCAGCATCTTTTTTTCCGTGTATATGCGCCATGAGTTTTTTCTTTGATAACTTGGTGCCTTCGGTCGTAAAAAGTGAGTGTTTCTTGAAATTTCTTATTTTTACATTTCAAAGGGGCTCTTTTTTTAACAGTAATTTCGGCTCGAATTCTCAACGGACGAATCGTGTTATTGTTTTTTTAAAGTTAATTTAGTTCAACTAGGTAGAATTACTTTGGCATTGGAAATCGATGAGGATTAGACTCTATTGGAAATGAGTTAAAGCGGAAAGAATTTGCGGGCTTGGCCTGGTGCAGACAAGCAAGCGGATCGTGAGATACATTAACAGGACACGGTTTTATAAATCTAATACAGCGGTGTGCAACCTTCAATATAGCAGGGCCTGATATTAATAACAGGGTAACACCGCGGGCCGCACCTTTATCTAACATAGGCCCTCAAGTAGTTGCAAGCACAAAAATGTTGGTTATTGATTTTATGACATGTGTTGTTCGATTCCCACAAGCTAGCTGTTAGGGCATTGTAACGTCATAGGCATAGATGATAACTCGGACGTACTAGTTTAAACTAAATTAGAAACTCGTTTTTCTTTTTACGGGCCGCATTTGGCCCGCGGACTGCAGGTGCACACCCTTGATCTAACACATAACCTTCGAAACGCCAACTATATTGCTAGCCGTTAGATGCCGTGCACGTTCCCCACTTGCGTTCACAATGCTTTTATATTATGACGGATATTTGGCTCTTTGACACGACCGTGTATAAAGAACCAATGTTATCAGACGATACGTAAAAAGCTATTATGACGTACAAGGCTACAGGCTAGCCGATTATGACGTACAAGGCTTCGTACGATCAGCCACTGATATACAACTATATGGGAGGGGCTACTGGGGCCGAAGTATTTTCAATTCGGTAATGTCCGACCCATTATATTATTGTTACACCCTGTGTGAAGTGGCGGGAATTGCATTTGAACTCGACATGTGTAACTACGATGACAATGCAGCTATGTCTTAGAGCAGGGGTCGGCAAACTTAGCGGGTCAAAATTAAAGGTTGCAAGTCATTGGCAGGCCGCACATATTTTTAGGAAGTTAAAAACCGAAGGAATGGCCAATGAATCATATTTTTCACACATATTTCAGTTGAATTTCAAGCAGTGCGCGAACACTGATCATTTGAATATTTTCTGCTTCATTAAACAATTTTCACTCAGCATCAACTTTTTTCCGTTCTGTTGTCATTTGTCTAATTTTAATCAATTTAGCCTCATTAAACGAGTGATTGTGAACTATATACTTGCAAAGTTATAATATAATTTAGTGTCTCAAAACAAATTCTGTCACGTAGGGCAGTGACCCATTGTCGGTCCGCGGAAAGATTACTACCGGTTCGCAGAAAGTACAAAACGTACAATGCCCTAATAGCGTTGTTACCAGTATGTAAAGTCAGGTTTTCAAAATTGACAACTACAAAAACGAAATATTGAAGTAGGACGAACGTAAGAAACACGTTATACCTTTGTTTTTGAATGTATTGTTAACCTAATTTTTCTAGCGCATATAATTTATTAAATTACATCAGTTCGTCCGTAATTTGTATAAAGGTGGTCCGCCAAAATTTTAGTCAGATTTTACCGGTCCGTCACTGAAAAAAGGTTGCCGACCACTGGCGTAGGTAATATAATTGTCAAAACAGCTGTTTTGTTAATAAAATTCAGTGATGCGTAGCGGGCTGGATTATATTGCTCCGCGGGCCTGTCTCAGAGCTTAAACCAGTGGTTCTCAAACGATGGGGGAGACAATTTTTTGAGGGCACGTGAATCTAATTAAAAATAAAAATATTTGTTAAATTTTATCTCGTTCGTCTTATTTTGTATATTTCAATTTCTTCATTTTGGATATTCACGTTCCATCCACGCATTTTCAACGTGATTTTGAATAAAACATACTTTCTCCTTACTATCTGGTATTTGTAGCTTATAGTTAGCTATTATTTTTGACGTGGTCTGCGAGACTTGACAAATTCTAAAAAGAGGGCGCGGTAAAAAGTTTGAAAACCATTGATTTAAACGCTAGCCTATCGCGCCCACAAAAAAGCTATCGCCATTTTAAGACATGGTGGACGAAGCTATTTTGAGCTTGACATTATTGTTAGCGCATAATGTTAGATTATTTGACGACAGGATTGTCAGGGGGTGGCTTTGGCAACCCGTGGACATAGATTATTGAAGCTCTACTGGATTGTTTATTTAATAAGTAGTAGTTTCGATTCAAATATTATCCGATATTCTTCAGGGCTTGCATAATATTATTCCGGTTCTGTTGTTCAGTAATCTCGTCCTCCCGCGCAGCAAATTTGACCGAAGAAAAGTGAATTTTAACATCAATGGCGGAAAGGCTGTATTTTTGTTTAGCGCCGGCAAACGGTAATGTGAGACGACTTTATAACCAGACATTTATGACCTAACAAAACATGCATGAACGAGTCACTGTCGGGTCACAATGTCGGCATTGTGACTCAACATCTAAAGCAATTTAGACAATTCTTACGTATGCATTATTTATTACACACAAGGTCGCATGTCAAATTAAATGGAAGCTTAGTTTATATGAAAGTAGAATGGTCGAAAAAATTGAGTAAAAACGAAATTCGAAATAAGAACTAAAAAATTTCCTATTAGAGTTGTGTATATATATAAAATTCCGCGTTTGATTGAAAATATTTTGCAATGCGTTTTGCTCCGAAAAAAGCCCAGACAAGCACCATTGATATTTATATATTTACTATGTTTCGAAGTGCGGGAATATTTTCCGTACAGTATCGTCTGTCCAATTTGTTACACCCTTGGTAAAGTGGGGGTCATGGTATATGAACCCGAGGATTTCAAAAATACAAATGACGTCACAATCGTCCAGAAATAAGGTCAGTCACGTCACTGGCAATTTGTTGAAAGTCCAATTTTACTTCGAACCTAGAGTTAGTCCTGACAATTTCGGTCCCTTCTGTCAAAATTGTGACGTCAAACGAGTCACAATCTTCAAACAATTCATACATTATTCATCACAATGCCTGCAGTTTGGCGTCGTTCGCAGGGTGAACACGAGCGTCGACGAGAGGCCAGCGTTCCTTAAGAAACTGTTTCGCAACAAATATGCCGAAAAAATCGTTAGAATTGTAGGTTTGTTCAATAGAATTGGCTTAAACACGATTTTAAATTGCAATTGATGAACGATGGCCGAGCGGGTAAAACGTTGTACTAAACTGCGTTGGCATTGCAGGCTAAAAATCTTGGGTTCAAATCCCATGTTCCCCACTTCACCCAGGGTAAAATCGAAAAGGTCCAATTTCTCCCCAACATATTAAGCTTCTTGCATGACGTTGAACATCAGTGGATGCTTGCACAGGGCCCCCTTTTCACCCCTTTTGAAAACATCAACTGACTCTTACACTTCCGTTCTAGAATTGCTGGAGACAAATATAATTCTCATATGTAAATATCACATTATTTCAATGTTTAGTGTATCTGGCACAAGAACCCAATTAGTTTTACAATAGCACCAGCTTCTTCAATATATTACAGCATATCACTTTCTGTGTGTTTACAGCTTTGTCCTCAGCAAAGAACTAAAAACAACTCATGAAAAATGCAAGAAAGCTAAATCCTTATACCCCTTAAAAACACAAAAATACACTTTTTCAAACAACCGCACATTTTTTTGGCTCGATAACCCAATTACGAAAATTAAAGGAAACTCCTTTTTGTTCATAGAACAGCGCATTATTAAATATTATACACAAAAAACAAAAAATCCACTTTTCCAAACAACCGCACATTGTTTGGGCTCAAAAACCAATTTATCTTTTTACTGAGTAATTTAATTGATTTTAAGTCTCGCTTTTTTCACTTCCGACAGTATCATGTCTCAATGATTGTGTGTATGTGTGTGTGCGTGTGTGCCCTAATTAGTTTTTTTTTTACTTTTGGGTGAGCGAACACGTACTACTTTTTTTTATCAATACCTTCCCACCTAAAATCTGTACGCTTCAAACCTTACTCGAGGTTTTGTTCGCTTTCCCAATTCTATAATCAGTTACTTTTACTTTTGTTTTTATCTATTATTTCATCGTCTATTGCTGATTATGGAGTAAAAATAAACTTAAACTATTGCAAAGTTTTTTTCTCACAGAACGGAGCATTATATATTGATTCAAAATTAACAAAAATCCCCCTTTTTTTTTACAGAACGGTGCATTTTTCGGTCTGGAGAATCTCAATGATCTTGATCTCTCAGAAAATCTATTGCAACGAATTCCTACACTGGCGTTTAAAAGTCTCAAAAGCATAAAAAGTATCAAGTTGAGACAAAATCCTATCGATCAAATTTTATCCTGGGATTTCATTCAAGTACGGACAACTTTAGAAAAACTCGACCTGAGAGAATTATGGAAATTGAAATTTTTATCAAACGGTGCGTTCCGAGGACTGGATAAACTGAAGGTAATGTTTCATATAAGTGTACTCAAATAGGGGGAGGGGGATTCCCCGTTGTTGACTGACAATTCACACAAGTTTGCTCAGAGCAGAGACCCAAAATCTCGTATAAAGTGCAGTGACAAAATAGTTGTGAACAATCACTGACGTATCAAAGTATATAGGTACATAGGTGTTTTAAAGGTTTGTTCAGTCCCGAGCCTTAAAGGTAAAGCGGAAAAAGTATCAATTAAAGGATTTCAGGCTATTACCGAAAGTTATAGAAAGATTCGTTTAAAGTAAATTGTATTAATATCAGTCATTTTTCAGTATCTGTATCGGTGTCGACTAAATTTAGATCAATATTTCGGATATATTTAGCTTTTTAATCTGATCCAAAATGTATAAAAAATTGGTTGGAATACATATATAGAAATAAAACAGTCAAATTGAACAGCAATCATTCATCAGTCTAGTTCAAGCGTGGGAATGGAATAACCAGTTAAACACCGTGAGGACAATTGTCAACATCTGTCAAATCAGAATTGTCATTTAAACCAATTTTAGATGTCAGTTCAATAAATTAGTTTTATGTGCGATAAAATACTGAAACTCTGACTCAGAAATCGAGTTTAACTTAATCAATGCCTTTTAAATCGATTAGATCATGCCATAGGCATTAGAAGGGGTGCTCCAGAAGTGCGTGTACCAATATGGAGGTAACTAATTTTGTTAAGGGACTGAAACCTATGGACAGGGGGTATATTCACCTGGCTAACACAGACAGTCCCCGTATAATTGATATACACATGGTTCAACTGTGATAATGACATAACAATTGGCAGTATCTAGAACGCAAAAAACAAAGTGTTAAACTACCGGTATGTCACTTGAACTATGCGGGCCATACTAAATTGTTACTAATACCAGCCCACAGTTTGGGGAACACTGTATCAGAGTGATATAATCTTGAATATATCAAAAAACCTCATTTTTTCAGGAGTTATCAATGAGTTCGACCCTCCCACAATTTCCAAACCTACAGCCGCTAAAAAATTTGAAACGAGTCGACCTATCGAACAATCGATATAGGAGCGTCGACAATTCAGCTTTCCAAGATCTCACTAAACTAGAGTACCTGGACATCTCAGCGAGCGGTGTTAAATCTATCACAGAAGGGGCGTTCAATGCATTGGAATCTTTAATGGTGAGTGTGTGTAGATAATGTATAATAATTAATTTAAATTTTTTAAAACAATTTGTTACAATGTTGAAGTGTTAGATCCTTCCCCCCCGAAATCAAGTCACATGTCATTAGAGTTTGAAGTCAACCAATCAAAAAGTTGTCTCTCTCAGTTGGTTTAACTATGTTGAAACGTTAAGTACCTAAACCTAAACAACCAGGTCAAGTCAGGTCACAGGCAATCGGAGTCAGTCCGAGCAAATCAACAAGTTAGGTCTCACTGTAAGTTAGTTGATCATAAATAGTCATTTAATTTAAATCCCGAGTCACTTTGAGTACTTGATAAATTGTACTTGAGTTCACTCCGAGTTTGCTCAACATTTTAATGTCGTACAACTTTGTTTCAGGACATTAATTTATCCTACAACAATCTGACAAGTCTACCTGGAGGAACGTTCACTTACAATCAGCGAATACAGCGGGCACAGTTGCAAATGAATCCTTGGTCATGTTATTGCGACCTGTGGTGGCTTGTTGAGTGAGTCTTATAATTTAATCTTGGACCTCCTGAAGTATGCGCACCAAGATGGCGCACAACCTGAACTCAGGTTGTGTACCAGGTTAGGGTTCAGGTTGTGCGACATCTTGGTGCGCATACTTCAGGATTACCTTATTCTTAGTATAATATATGTGATAAAAATGTTTTACCAAGAGTATTTCCCCTCCCTCCACAAGTTATGATATCACATATAATTGAACTGTATTTTAGTATTTCATAATGAAATGATGTTAAGATATGAAATTTGAGGGGGGACAAAGGATATCCCCCCCCCCCCAATGGAACAGTTATGTTGCCACATTTGTTGTGGTGTGGTGTTTTCCCTCCACTATCAAGTCCATGCATCTGAAAAAAATAACCGATACAAGAGGCCGTGGTTTGCCATATGATTAAGCTGTCTTATCAGCATTCCTCTGCTTGGAGATATTCATAAAATTTCAATCCTTATTTTTTCAGTTGGCTACAGAACAATCCTTACGTATGCAGTGGTAAAACGTGTCCAAAATGTCGTTACCCCCCTCAACATAACGGAATGATGTTGTCAAATCTCTCAGACATTGAAGACGCACCGTGTGGCCTGATGATTATAGAAGATAATTGTAAGTAACACTTCTTTTCATAAAAGTACCGTATATACTCGCCGATAGGTCGGGCCATCGTATAGGTCGCACTATTAGTTTCGTGTTAAAAAATTTAATTTTGAGTTGACTCGCACATAAGTCGCACTGAAAATTTGGGGAATTAAAAGGCCAAGTCGCACTGAAAATTTAGGGAATTAAAAGGCCCTTTCCCTAGCTTTTTTGCATAGATAACTTCCTTTTTTTTTTTGTAGGGCTTAATATAATCAAAATATGTTTATCGACACATGTGAGCGATAATAAGTGCATGTACGCAAGCGCAGACCATATGATTTTCATGAATAATCAACTGGCTACAAACCTGTATATCATTGACCCCATAAAATTAGGTCGAAAACTTAGGTCCTGAAAATCGGCTTATTAGCCGGAAAATACGGTATTTGCAATAGCCGAAAACTTTCAATTTTGTTCTGACTTGGTGGTGATTTGCACTTATGTCGAGCGGATTGGTCGCAACTATATTTTTATTAAAAATTATAAGGGAAAAATTGCGATCTATCTGCGAGTATGTACGGTAGTACCTCTGGGACGGGAAAGGCAACGGTCTCTCATCCAGTTACAAGTCCATGACAAGTATGGGATTAGTTGGGCAAAAAAGGTACCGTAAGTGGTTTTCATCAGAGATGCGATGGAGAGTGCATTCCAAACTATCTCTGTGAGGAAAGATGGTACGATTGTTCAGGTTCAAAACCTCCCTTTTGAAATGCAAAAACAGCATTTCTCCTATCCTACATAGCAATGTTTCATAGCTTGAAATGCTTTTAAAACTTCAAGACTCTTGAAAACTTGCGTTTTCCGACCTTACCCACTAGCTGTCACGGTCTAATATTCAAAAATTTCAGAACACCCTCCCCCCTCCCCCTATACAGTCAGTAAAAATTTTGAATAAATATTTTTTCAACAGACCCGCCCAGCGTGAATGCGTCAGTTGGCACAGGAGTTAAAATCCCCTGCCCTACAGTCGCCCCCACAGCAGACTCATTAACCAAAAATGTGATGTGGATCTTACCTAACGGAACAACATTGGAGCACGGGAAATACACCGTAGAAATCACTGTACTTGGTACAGGTAGGTGAATAGTGAAAAATTTGCGGTGGTCTCTATTTTACAAAAGTGACTTGGCTCAGAGATGAGTTAATTTCACTTCTCAGTGAGTGTGCGTAACTTTGCTCAGAGTCGAGTCTCTTTTATTTCTGAGTGAGTGCCCGTAACTTTGCTCAGAGTCGAGTCTCCTTCACTTCTGAGTGAGTGCCCGTAACTTCGCTCAGAGATGAGTCTCTTTTACTTCTGAGTGAGTGCCCCTAACTTTGCTCAGAGATGAGTCTCCCTCACTTCTGAGTGAGTGCCCGTAACTTTGCTCAAAGATGAGTTAATTGCACTTAGGAGTGAGTGCCCGTAACTTTGCCCAGAGATGAGTCTCTTTTACTTCTGAGTGAGTGCCCGTCTCTTTTACTTCTGAGTGAGTGCCCGTAACTTTGCTCAGAGATGAGTCTCTTTTACTTCTGAGTGAGTGCCCGTAACTTTGCCTAAAGATGAGTTAATTGCACTTAGGAGTGAGTGCCCGAAACTTTGCCTAGAGATGAGTCTCTTTTACTTCTGAGTGAGTGCCCGTCTCTTTTACTTCTGAGTGAGTGCCCGTAACTTTGCTCAAAGATGAGTTAATTGCACTTAGGAGTGACAGTGCGTAACTTTGCTCAGTAATCGTTTTCGAGTGAATGCACGAAACTTCGCTCAGAGATGAGTCTTTTTTATTTCTAAATGAGTGTATGTGGCATTGAGTCAATTATCCTCATAAAAAAAACGAATCATTGTGAAAAAGCCTAACCTAAATACCATACTTTACATTCAACAGGGGCCCTGAATTTCTCGAAAGTCAGTCTAAGAGACAGAGGACATTATACGTGCAGTGTTGTTACTCCCGCTGGAGAAATCGCAAACTCAACAATATTCCTTGATGTTACAGAAGACATGAATCGTTTCACAAACACTTTTTTCTCGACGGTTAGTTCGTTTGATTATTCATATATCTTGAGAGGAAAGTTGATGTGACGACCTAAACATCCCTGAGTCACTGTATCGGATGTGGAAAAGTTAATATATTTACAAAAGGGGGAGAGGAAAGTCGAGAAGATGGCTTAATCATATGGCAAACCTCAACGTGGCGCAAGTCGGGTTATAGGTCCAGGGGCATAGTCAGGTGGGGGGGGGGATTGAAGGACAGAACACCCTTCCTTTTAAAATATAAAAAAAATCATCTTTCTGTTTGATACATAGCAATTTTTCTCAGCTTGAAACGCTTTTAGATCCTCAAAACTCTTGAAAACTCATTACTACCCAGTACCCTCACTACTATATTGTGAAAAACTAATTGCGAATCTCATTTACCAACAGGAAACAACAGTTATAAGCAACCCTGACCCACCACCACTGATCGTCACAACGCCAACCCAGTCACCTGGACGATTTACGAAGGTAAGTAATATTGGATATCCGCTCTAGGAGACCTTATTTTCAGTCTCTATGTCTGTGCATTGAAGCTATGTCGTCTACAACTAGACCGATCTACATGGAATTCCTCACATGGGTTATCATGTCGCCCTACGCTGTTGTAATGATGTAATTTTGTTTGAAGGTAACGGACTGCTAGATTGCGAGCCGTTTCAAGTATCGGCAAAGATTCGAGGAACCCAATGGCTTGTTTTTTATTTTTAAAAAAACCTTAAAAGTGTTGTTACAAGAACCCAGTGGTGCAAGAAAATTGCCCTAAAAATTTGCCCTTTTTCAAAAAGATCTTATCCACATTTCTAAGTTTGTTATGAGCTTATATTATCTTATAAGTTTACGTATTTGCTCGTTTGTAGCCCGGGCCCATATTTTTTTAACCAAACTCACTGACCGGGCCCTTATTCAAGCACAAGCGCTTGTTATTTTTAAAGTAAAACTACACACAAAAATGACGGTATCCGCAAAAGAAGAAAAGTTTTGTGACGCCCTATCAATATTGAAACGACACAATATTGAAACACACACACGTCGCGACGCCCAGTTTGAGAACCAGGGTGTTACGCAATCAATGCTATCTGTTATGTAATTGGACGCCTAAGGCGTGAGTGTTATCTACCAGCGCATAAAATTTAACAGCGTTGTGATAAAAGCGCTTCAGTCATTTTAGTACCAAAGAATACCATAAAAAAAACATGAATATTATTTTTTCAGTCCCCAAGTACAACGCAACCAAGAAGGCCACTCAGAACAAGGGCCAAGACGAGACAGAGGACGCAACCAACAACTAGCCCAGTGAAACCTCAGTGGATGTACACAGGGCCATCTGGAATTAACATCAATCCTGAACTTGGGCCGCCCGGGAGCTCTGTACAGCAGGTAGTGAAAAACTTTTTAGAAGTTTAGACTAGAGTCACAATTTAATTTTTTTCAAAAATCAATTATGTGCAATATTAAAAAAAAGAAGAGATAATCATACTGTTTTACTGGGGAAGGGAAGTCACAGAGAACCAAAGTTGGTTATCGAGCAGCGACACCAAAGGTGTTAACATATGATTAAAAAGGTCGGGAATTTCTGACATTCCAATCCGAAGTTTTTAAGTTATGTGGTACGTGCAAGTAATCTCAAGCTCTTTGCAAAGCTTATACATGAGGCACATTTATAATCTAATCGATGCTTATGACATTACAATGCCCTAACAGCAAGCTCGTGCGAAGCGAACAACGCATGTCATAGGACCGATAACCAAAATTTTTGGGCCTGCAACTATTAGAAAGCCCTTCTGTATTGAAGATTGAACACCCCCTGCCCTAAATTGCTAGTGTCCTAATATTTGTATGATTACTTCTGGAATTATTGCACCAACGAGTAAACACAGGGTTGAAGAAAATTGCAGCTGAAATGGAACTTAAAAAAAAAACGAAGACTAGATTTCCACGAAATTTTAGTCATGAATCCTTGCGACTTCTAGTCTATCCTGTTCAGGAAAATACCTTAATCACAAGTGGAGACCGAAAACATTTCCCATCAAAGAAAATATGACTATTCACAAGTGTTGACATTCTTTTTAAACGGGATTTTTTCTATTTTCAGGTTATGGAGACGACAAAAATCATAATTGGATGTTTCATTGGAATTACTTTGGTCGCAGCTTTGTTACTTTTAATTTTTTACAAAATGAGAAAAAGGAATAACCCAAGCGGTGAGTATCAAAGAATTATCTACATAAGCTCTATGAAGGGCTCAAGATAAGTGGTTAATGACAGGAACGTAGGCGAAAAGGGGGGGGGGGATTTCTAATTGCCAAGTTAGACTGGATCGTAACACAAAGCAGGTCCAACAAAGGCTGGAAAACATGAGTTTTCGAAAAATCTGGTCCGTTGGGTAATTCAATCTGGCCCGCTTGATGCTGCCACAACCAAATTGAAATTAAATTTTGATGTTTCAGCTGAAAATAGCTCAAGGAATTTGCTGAGATTGTGGTTAAATTTAGTTTTGGCACGAGGCTTATTGTTTTCCACCTTTGCTTCGTAACACTGTAAATAATGTTCATAAAATGTAAGTAACTTCTTACGTCACACTTTCATGGCCAGCCAGTCTAAGTGGGCAAATTTTTTGGCCCCTGGTTTAAAAACGTGCCCACCCCTGGTCTCGAGGGTCTTAAAATGCATCTCGGACTACAACAAAATTGCTGTATATGATACAAAAAATTTTTTTTTATTATTTTTTTTACATTTAAAAAGGAGAGGGTTACTAGGTTCTCAGAGTGCATCATACAGACCCCCAGGGTTCTGTGAGAAAACCTAGGGGCTATGCGAGCGATTCATTCACTTTGTTAACATTTTTTGGCGCTCCTTTAGTATGTGCGCCAAGATGGCGGACACCGGAACGTAATATGTGTACCAGGCCAATTTTCCTCATTTTAGTTTTATTACGAGTTCAGGGACTAGCCAAGTGACTCTCCCGTAGTATTTGTATCTGAAGTTATTGCCTAACCCTAACCTGGTACACATACTACGTTCCGGTGTCTGCCATCTTGGTCCACATACTACGGGAATACCCATTTTTAAATACAATTCTGCAAATACAGAGTCATTGAATCAAGTAATTTTAGTTTTCTCTGGGACATTAATAATCTGTAAATAATCAAACTAAAAATTTTTTATTTTATTTCAGAAGATAACAGAATTGGAAATCAGCCAATCACACATGAGAATTCAGTTCCTTCAAATCTGATTGGTCGATTTGATGAACAGCAGGTATTTATCAGCGAACAACCTCCTGATCAGAACACTGGGCCACCAGCGAGGTGAGTTACATTGTTTCTTTCGGAGGTTTTTAGAGCGCACGGCCCCTATTTATAATTCCAGTGGTATTTATAGTGTTATTTTGATTGGTAGATTCAAAATCCCATTATGTTGAAACAATTCATGTTTAACTAAGATAAAACACTACGTGAAATAACCAGAGCAATGAAACTTGGAAGAACGGGGAGGGAGGGATGGGGGTTTCCCCAAGGAAAAGTAAAATCTGTTTTGTGCCCCATAGATGCTCCGTGGGCCCTTGCGAGGCCACAGGCACCTTTGGGGGGTCATGGGCCAGCGGTCCGAATCACTGCTCTATTATTACGAAGAGACATGCTATATTTCTGTGAGAACCAAAAATTATTAACTATGTGCTGGAAATATTTCGGTCTGCATTTCAATAATTAAGCCCTCCCTGCATATTGTTAGACATCAGTGGCTGCCATTGCAGAGTCCTATTCGGAGAGAATGGCGTATATAAGCTCTACATAAAAAAAACTTGGAATAACAAACAAATTTATTGCAGCGTTCTAGGATTTGACAACAACCGGCATTCTGGGACACTAGAGGGACAGTGGAGTGATTCTTGTCAACCTTTGTTGATGAAACAATGCAATGATAATAATACAATTATGACTACACATATACTCCCTCCACCTCCAGAAGAAATGTTTTATGATGTAAGAATGGAACCCTTTGTGACAACACCATCACTTATCAATATGACATCACAACAGGGAAGTAGTTTGTCGTCAAAACCAATTTCAACTACGACAGAGACGCCGGAAAAAATAATCCCAGAACCAATAAAATTGACCTTTGATCCCATCGAAAGATCTGGTCCGTTGGAGCAAGGTTACGACAGCTTAAAGTTTATAAAACATGGAATGCCGCCAGCGATGAAACCAATTAATGGCAACTCTCGTTCGACATTAAGTCAACCACAATTTTCCCTTTCCGATTCCAGAGAGAGCTTTTGACAGACTTAGCATCGTCCTGCCAGAAGGTGGCGCAAAACAGAAGGCTGGGGCAAAAACCTCACCCCCACGATGCCCATCTGCCAGTCCTATGATCCACATTTGTGCAAAAGTCGAAACGAAAGTGAAAACTCTTCCGTTAGCATCCAACGACCTTAGAAATGGATAATAATTCTCAAGGTAAATAATATTGAAAGGTCAAACTGCTAGAGGTCAAACGAACAAAAATCACCCGATCATACATCTGGCGCTAACGGTGAATTGAAATAGACTCATGGAGTGCGAGCACTTTTCGATTTCGGAGGAGCACCAGACACATGCAACTACGCTACTGTGGCCGTAGATATGGAAGTTTACCGGCAACGAGAAATTCAACAATTCCGCATCAAATTTGTCGCAATTCGGCAGCGTCTACGTTACCACAAAAAGGGATCAAACTCCAGATATATCATAAAAGACGGAGCTCTATGACATCACAATCCAAACTTTTCCACTGGGATTTGGAGGAAGAACTCACATGAAACGTGTCATTTTAATACTCATCAGAAATACAAATTTTTACCCTATGAAAGGAAATCTTGAATTAATCATATGGCAAACGGCCTCTCGTTCGGTTACCAGTCCAGGTCGGGTATGGGATGAGTTAGCCAGTTATTTGATTCAGATGCACGGACTTGATGGTGGAGGAAGCTGTAACCGACCACTGGTTACGTGAACCACCCCTGCGGCAGCAAGAAGTTCAAAAATCCTCTCACACATAATTAACCCCACATGGGATTTGAACCTGCAAACCAACACAGGGTAATGAGAGGTGTGGTGGCGAGCGTATTCCTAACGCTAAACACGATGAGCCACACTGTCGAGCCTTGTATTTTAAGTCAGTGCATACAAAGACAGAAGGAAAAGATCAGTAGTTAGGAACACCCTGCTATAGTCAACTCATATTCTTATATTCTGAACGTTTTAAACCTTGTCTAAGGTTTTGTTTGCTCTACTCATTCCATAATCAATATTTTATTTATTCGTTTTAAATCATTTTATTGCCTGTTATGCTGATTATGGAGTCAAATAAACTTATACTTATATACAGTACTTATAAAATTGATAAATATTACTTATAAATCCTAATTTTCAGGTAACGGAACTAACAAGAGTGCAACCTTGGAACCTTTAAGTCAAGGACAATCACGAAGAAAAATGCCAATCAAACTAGGAAGTTTCGATGGAATATTGACCCATAAAGAGACGGAGATATAGCGCTGTCGCCGAGGAAAGCTAGATCAAGCATGAACTGAACAAAATATTTAACATTCTGAACGAATGATTAAACATTCTGGAATAATATTTTGAATATGAAATATGGACACTTTTGCGAATGGTCTAAATCGGGTGTGTTCAACATTTTTGTCGGTGGACACAGGGCAATATAACCAGCTTCAGACATGTACACACCCCTGGTCTAAATTGAATATTTTCTGAAACACCATTTTGAGACTAATTTAGACCCAAAATGGCCGTCCTACTAATGTAGAACAACAGTATCTTGGGATAAAATCTTAGGCTGACCACTTCAGGGTGTAATAATACGAGTAAAACCTGCTAAACCAATGTTTCCTAACTGGGGAGGTATTTTATTTTTCTTGGGGGGGTGAATTTTGCTTTGTATTTGCTGTGCTATTACTATTATTCTTAGTTCATTATTGTTACAATGATACTTTTTCATGCATAGATTATACAGGTATAAACTACTTGAAACGAACAAAGCAGGAGTGCCATTTGCACACAACTCTAACCAAGACAGGGTTCTCCAACTGGACAGGGGGTCCGCAATGATATAAAATGAGTCTGATCAATATTTAATGATTGATTTTAATCAAAAAGCAATTGCATATTTTTAGTTGATATGATCCCAAATTGTTTACACATATCAAGACTATTTATTTTGCACTATAATGCAGTTACCGAATAGCACTGGGCAAACCAATGGGCCCTCAAATGTATCCTTACTGTGCAACCAATATACGTACTACAAACTTTTACAGATGTAACACACATAACTGCTAGCCTATTTATCCTCTCAGTAAATGCTTAAATTTCATTTTCATTATTTTAAAATGTGTGATTAATTTATAGTGTCAGATTTTTACCAAAATAAAATTCTCAAAAATATTTGTACCGGTTCGGTGTAAATTGGGAAAGCGAGAATTCTGGGAAATATTAGTGAGAGAAAACAATAATTGCGCCGCTAAGGCACTAAGCGTTGCTATTCTGTGAGCATGCCATTTTCCTCTATTGAAGTAAGATTGCCGCACAGCTAAATGATAATCATACTAACAGCTGACAAATTTTTCGACTCTTACCTCAGCCCGAGAAAACTTAATCTATCAAAGCTTTTTTACTCCCATCACTAGCAGTCAAAATTTTTTGAATCTGACCACAAATTGAGAAATATTCGACTCCAACCACAAATTGAGAAATATTCGACTCCAACCACAAATTGAGAAATATTCGACTCCAACCACAACTTGACAAATATTAGACTCCAATCACAACTTGACAAATATTTGACTCTGACCACAACCTGGGAAATATTAGACTCTGACCACAACCCGAGAAATATTAGACTATGACCACAACCGAAAATATTAGACTCCAACCACAAACCCGAAAAATATTAGACTCCAACCACAACCTGAAATATATTAGACTCCGACCACAACCTGAAAAATATGAGACCCAACCACAACCCGAAAATATTAGACTCTGACCACAACCCGAAAAATATTAGGCTCTGACCACAACCCGAAAAATATTAGACTCTGACCACAACCCGAAAAATATTAGACTCTGACCACAACCCGAAAATATTAGACTCTGACCACAACCCGAAAATATTAGGCTCTGACCACAACCCGAAAAATATTAGGCTCTGACCACAACCCGAAAAATATTAGACTCCAACCACAACCTGGAAAATATTAGACTCGATCAAAACCTGAAAAATATTTGACTCCGACCACAACCTGAAAAATATTAGACTCCAACCACGCCTGACAAAATTTTTGACCTGATCCTCAAAGTTCAAAATTTGAGGAGTGTTGAAAAAAAAAATATTTTTTGCCACATTTAACTCACCTCTCTATGCATGCACATGTCCTTGGTCAGACTTAGAGCTTCTTCTGAGAAGGGGTCGGCTTCTATTACTCCGCCTGGGCCATTGCGTGCCCACGGGGGCACTCGATACCTGGAAACAAACAATAACACCACATTATGGTCGACGTCCATAATAAATCAAATACATTCAAATTGATTCAATCACCGTATCAATCTCAACGTCTTATAAAAACATCTTACCAGCAAGAAGGAACGTAATCAAGCAAGTCTCTTTTGGTAGATACAGCTTTAGGCGGGATCCACCGAAAACGTATTCCACAACGGCTTCCGATCTGTAATGAGAAATGTCAAATAAAAGATTTCTAATTCATTGTCGGAGTATAGAGCAGGGGTAGATAAATAAAGGCCCGCGACCCGATCCGGCCCACCGAAGTGCTCCAACAGGCTCACTAAAACCACGTTGCCTCATCAACTCCACACATACTGTACTAACTCTTGCAACGACAATTCAAAAAACTCCTAAATAAAATATGAAATTTCAGGTTAGCTTCGGGCTCGGGCCTGCAAATCCAGTTAATTGGTCGGGTTTAATACCCACGGGCCTGGGTCGGGCCGGACTGGAATTTTCGGGCCCGATCTTACCTCTAACTCTGATTGCTGATTGGTTATCATTACAGAAATGAACAAGGAAATTGGGGAAACATCCATGCTATTGTCTTCAAAGTTAGGCTGAAGCCAAAGTCAATATTTTGTCTCAATCTGAAGTCGAAATAGTTTTAACAACTAACACAGTTCATACTATGCATTTCAAGAGTCCTGCTGCACACTAACACAAATGTGTTACTGTTATGTTTTGTCTGACCAAAATCAGACTTCCTCAGACAATCAGTTTACAACAAGTTAGTCTCGCAACCTCTACTGATAGTTATACCAGCTCAGAGTCTGTAAAAATTTGTAAATTGTATATTGCAAGTTCCTCTACCCCAACGTAAAAAATTGGAAAAAAAAGTTTAACTCCCTTACCTTCCAGCTCTTTGTAAAAACGGCAAAAACTGCTTCGCTTTTGACACATCACCGGAGACGTCAGCGACACGATGAATCGGGATATCTTTCTTGCTGTTCACTCCTTTGGTTGTTTTGATAGCTCTGCAAAGAGGAATATCAGATTAACTGTGTTTCATTATCAGTACAGTTGTATGCAACGAGTTGCAGAGAGGGATGTAGCCAGGGCTAGCTGTTACTTGACAAATTAGAAATTTCAGTCCAGTCCATGTTGATATTCAGATGCATGTACTTGAAGGTGGAGGAAGCCGTAATCAACCAGCAGTTACGTGAACCACCCCACGGGAGTCCAGCAATCCATCTCCAAGCGACAACAATTTATCAAAACGTTCAGTGTACAACACCGGACTTTTACTGGTCTTGTGTAAATGGGTGGACCGTAACTGTAAGACACTTATTTTTCGGGGTGAAATATTTCTTTTTGCCAATTTTTTGAAAAATTCGACAACTGGATCAGGTTTAAACAAGAATGGATATATTTTCCACCGATCCACACTTTAAGTTTACTTTTCTTTAAGTTTTTCTAAGAATGTGAAGATATTTGTAAAACATTAATATAGGGGAAGAACTTTGATTGTTTGGCATATTTTCGTTAACTGGGTTGCGTGCCAAGTTTTAATGAGAATGTATTTTTTATGAAATTGGCGCTCCAGAAGTATGTGCACCAAAATGGCACACAACCTGATAACCCCAATCTGGAACACACTACGTTCAAGTTGTGCGCCATCTTGATGCACAACAGTGGGAGCACCACAAAATTAGCATCAACAACTTACCTCTGTTCGGCAGCAAGAAGAGCGTCATAATGTGCAGATCTGGAGTCGTCGTCTTGGCGATGTCGCACTACTTTAGCTAATCCTTTGCTCACCAATGCTTCGGCCAAATTTCTAAAAAAATGAAATCAGGTTCACTCTCACAGCTGGTTGGTCATGATCAGTCATCTGCAACTGATGACATCACAGGTCATGTTCAGCCATCTGGGAAAATGCTAGTTGCCAGAAATACAATAAAGACACAGTTAACACACAAGATCAGAAAGTTTGAAATTACTTACATTCCTCCAGCTGTAACCGTAGCACACAATCTCTCAGGAAAAGCAGGCAATGTGTCTGTAGCAAGAGTAGAAGGTTTCAAGTAGTCCACATTGACAGTAAACCTGCAAAAATTCCAATATTCGTGGTGTTAATTGTGTTCTCATAACTGACGATGCTACTATTTTGCGTACTATTAACCTATGTTCAGGTTTCATTATGTCCAGATGATTGCCATCCTGGTACATGTGCTCTAATCCTATGTATTTATGTATGTTTATTTGCCTCAAAAATGTAACAGTATCTGCATAATAATCAAACAGTAAAACAGAGATGGAAATACATGTTCAAGACCTTACTGGCCTAAAACATTGATGTGCGACATGCACCCCTAACAAGTATAACTGCAGTTTTCTATTTCCCACGTTTTGATCGACCAATGACAGCACAGCATAATGGTATTGCATTATGGGTAAAACCACTGGAGCATGCTCTTTGGGTATTAATACTTCCATGCTGGTCTCGAGAGGTCATTCAGTATTTTACCTTTTTTCCAATTAACTTTTTCCTTAAAAATTCTCGAGCCTCAAACATGTATGGAATATCATATAAAGGTCTTGGTCTTCCACCACCGGAGGTGCTCTCATTTTTTTCAAGTTTTGAGGGGTCCTTATCCTTCAAGTAAGCACAATCATCCATTCTAGGAATGAAAAAAAATAATATAGAGAATTATTAATTTTGACAATTATTCCAAACAGGCACAAAATAGGGCTGGGCATTTAAATTGAATAGCAAATTATTCAAATCGATTTAAAAATAATTCGAATCGCCGCCATCTCCAAAATCGTGTTCGATGATTATCAAGAAATTCTAAGAAAGACTTTGTGCAAACCCCCTGATTCCAACACTAGGTGGAGGTAAAAACCCAAATAAAATTACCGCAGAGAAGACTTTTATTCCATTTATAAAAACTGAAGGAATATAACTTGAAGTAACAACCGAGACAAGCTACGCACCGGATAAGGCAACAAGCATTAATTTCCTATGGGTTGTTTCAACGTGATTCCCACCACTAGGTGGAAGTTTCAACCCAAATAAAATTACCACGGGGTAAAAACAAGAACGCGTTCAATGATCATTATGACATTCTACGAATGGCTTTGTGCAAACCCCCTAAATGCCCCCACTAGGTGGCGATTTTCAACCCAAATAAAATTACCTTGGGGGTCTTATACTGGCAAGATGAACGGTCCGTATGACTCCACTTTGAGTTTTGACAGCGATTGCATCGGCGTTAACGATCTGAATAACCTTTCCGGTGAACTCCCGATCTTTCTCTTCGATGCCAGACTCCGTTGGTTTCCAATCCTTCCAGATACGAACATGACGCTCTTTCGCTGACCTGAAAAAAAAGATTTAAAAATTTGTTAATTTCCATGACGCCCCAAACACCTTAAAGTTGAACCAGGCTTCGCACCAGTGGTCCAACCTTTTTTAAAGTATTTCTTTTTTTACCTCCCCCAATATACATGAAATTCCGTTTCCGTCTGTTTTTCAATACAGTGATACCTCCCTCATTGGTCGAACATTTTGTTATCGATTTGTTGGTATTAAAACTTTTTTGTGATAAGAAATGATGGTATTTATTTTAATTTGTTTCTACACATTTCGAAATACCCAAATTATTAGCAAAACTCTACATGCAGTCAGTCGGTAGTTTATTTTATCACATGCTGAAAGTACACAATAAACAAATATAATAATGAAATTTAAAAGAAATGCATTTCAATGTGACGGGAAATCGCGCAGAGTCCCCTATGAGGGAGTGAGTCTAATATTAAATCATACTGAGAAAAAATCCCCATATTGATAAAGGAAAGCGACCTTGAAAAACATAAGATTGACCTTGAGAAAAATTTAAAATAAAAATCTTACTTTTCCAAAGCTCGAAGTTTTTCGGGTCCTTGAGAGTATGACGTAATGCTCCAGTCGACGCATCTTGCGAAACCTTCTTTCAGCAGAAGCTCAGTGATACTGCCATTCTGTCGAAAATATTGGAAATTGTTTGAAATAGGAGTATGTAAGTTAGAATCCTGGGTGCTCCCGAAGTATGCGAACCAAGATGGCGGACATCGGAACGTAACATGGGTAACAGGTTAGGGTTAGGCGATAATTTTTTTCCAATTTTCCTTATTTCAGTCCTATTATCAGTTCGAAGACTAGCCAAGAGCCTCCCGTAGTATTTATACCTAAAATTATGGCCTAACCCTAACCTAGTACACATATTACATTCCGATGTCCGCCATCTTGGTTCGCATACTTCGGGAGCCCCGAATCCTGGGCCGAAAAGATTCGTTTCAATTGTGTAATGCAAATTTCAAGTCAAGTCAAGTTTATCTTTTCCAACCAGTAAAAAATACCACACAAGCACAAATTACAAGAAAACGACAATACAGTTTTACTAGGAAGGGAAGTCGCAGTTGGAAACCAAAGCTGGTTTGTCAAATCTTAGATGGTTTGTACATCCATCCTCTACCATACCTCAGCGACCCCACGACCTGATTGCGACCCTACCTAAATATCACTCTGACCCAATTTTTAGGTCGCAGCGACACCCGAGGTTCCAATATCTAATTTGAAAAGTTCTAGAGCAGTTTTGAAACTACTCAACTTCAAACTTGAGAGCTTTAGCCCTAAAGAGCAAAACTTAAAAAGCTATTTTAAGTAAAGGACAAGAATCTTTTTGATGTTCAAAACTCTGTAACTTTTTATTGAAATAATTTTTTGAATATCGCTTCAGACTATGATTGATACCAGCTTAAAGAGCATTTGTTTTTCTTAATACAAATAAGTTTTTCGAAATTTCAATATTCATTCTTTTGTCATAATATCATAACATTCTCATAATATTAGATTACGATAATATATATTTGGAATAATATCAGATTAGAAACTTTAATAAATGGGTGTTCAATGCATCAAGCTCCAGAACACCTGAAAGAGTAAAAAACAATTTTCCTACCGGATGAAGGATTGTTGCAAGAAGTACGTTTGCGTTCGAAACTCCCTCAAGAATGAGCTGTACATCACGTTGCAATAATCGAGACTCTGCGAAAAATTTTGCTTCAGCTGCAAACGGCTCTGCTGTTTCTTTTTTCGGGTCTTCTGCGTCTCGACGAAACATCGGGCATTTTACACCGCTAAAAATAAGTGGTCACCAAATAAACATAATGGAAAGAGTGCAATGGTGTAGTGCCATGTTTCTTAAACAAGTTCTTTAATTTAATGTTTACGACACCATCACATAAATTTCGACGTGGAAAATGAATTCCTTATGGCCTACAGATATTTTTGAAATAAATAAGATTAGTAGTTTCCCTAGCGAATAGCGATAACAACAATCTTTAACTAAAAATTCTATGAAATTTGTCCAGTATTTGGAGAGAATGACCCAGAATCAACGTTCACAGACCACTGGTCTGTCGGTTCACGGACGGTGTCGGCCACTTGCGGGCACTTCCCTCTCCCGAACCGCAAAAATCATTCTGCTTCCGGTAATTCAACTTTGAGAATCACCGCCTTAGATGCTAACAATATTCACACAGACCCCTAACAATGTGACTAAAAACTTTAAAACTCTTGACGCTCAGTACAAATGAAACCATTACCTCAACATAAAAGTGACATGGTGAAAGGATGGCAACAGGAAAGCTCTCATGGTACATCCATCTCGCACATGCTCAATGATAGCTGGAAAAAAGAAAAAATGTTTACAATTTCAATGGTTTATCTCCTCCTTTCAAAGACTAGCATTTATGATTGCTTGCAATCACCAAGAAGTTAAGGAGACTCATCTCTGAGCAAAGTTACATGCCTCAGTAAAATTTTAATATTTACTGAAAGCATTTGGTAAAAATGGTATAAAACTAATAAGAATTTTTATATTTAAAAGCAGACTAGCATTTATGCTCTTTTCAAAAAAAAATTGCTTCAATGGGTTCCCATCTGCTATATTATTCGTCACATTTAATAATAAATTACTAACAAACGAAAAAGAATTTTATGCATTTCAGCCAAGAAATTCAACAAATCAAATTCAATTTGTTTTAAATTAGAATAATATTTTGAAAAGACCTTTGTATGTGCTCCTGAGAAAACAGGTGTGGCGCATCGTGCTAAGCATTAGGAATATGCTTGCACCGCACCTCTGATTACCCTGTACGGGTCCGCAGGTTAGAATTGCAAGAGGATAATAATGTGCAATAGGATTGCCGGACTCCTCGTCGCTGTCAGGTGGTTACTGCAGGTCGGTACTGTATCCCTCCACCATCAAGTAAACATGCTTCCGAAAACAAATAACTGACATAACTAACCCCATACCCGACATGGAATGGTAACCGGACAAGAGGCCGTGGTTCGCCATATGGTTAAGCCATCCTATTGTCTTTCTTCTCCCCCGAGATTAAATTTTTTATTTTTTATTGGATTTTTATAAAATAAAACACTAATGTAATAAACCCCCGGGATAAATATGTAAATCCCAACCTATCCCACCCCAGACTGACCCCCTCCTGACCCCCTGGAGTAGCCAAAGACCCAGTTTGGGTAACAGTGAGTATTTACCATTGACCGGTTTTCCGCGGAAAGAGTCAACAAAATTCCTCGGATTTTCGATAGTCCATTTTACATCTCTGATTGAGTCTTCTGATCTTGATTCCGTCCATTTTCCTTTTCCTGCGGCTTTTGCTTGGTCCTCTAGCTCTATCAAGTGGTTGTGCTCAGTGCTAAATAGAAAATGGAAAAAATAATAAACGCCAGCTCTGGAAATTTTTTCACTTCTATCTATCTTCATAATTAAATGCTCTTTATCGGTCATTTTTAGGTGCTCCAGAAGTGTGTGTACCATGTTAGGGTTAGGTTATAATTTTATTCCGATTTTCCTTATGTTAGTTCTATTACAAGTTCGAGGATTAGCCAAGTGACTCCCGTAGTATTTGTACCCAAACTTATGGCCTAACAGAATAGAAATTTTAGAATAATTCAACACTTACTTATCAGCTCTCACTCCAACTTTTCTAACTTCCGCCAACCCCTCAGAGATGAGGAGACTTCCTACGTTTTCACCGGTATTGTCTGTAAAAAAATGAGTTAAAATTCATGTGAATTAACAGTAATTCAAATTTGTGATGTATTTATGATATATCTAGGAGTCTGGATTGCTGTTTTGATAGAAAATAAATAAAAAAAATTTAATTTTGGGATGACAAAAATAAAACCATTGGGTGTTCGGGCTTGTGGATACTATAGGATAAGAGGCAATGAAGTCCTTGAAGCCATGAAGTCATGAAGTCCATGAAATTCTTCAAAATTGTGACGGGAATTTATCGATACCATGTATTGTTTTGGCCCTCACAGATGTATTAAATGAGGTAAAAATACTTGAACAATTACTGATTAAAAACAACAAAACTTGGTTAAAATATATCGAGAACTGACTTCATAACAAAATTGAAAATGGACACCTACTATTTTAGGTAAATTTGTTTAGAGCAAGGTCACGAGAACTCACTCACAAATTTAAAAAATGATCTCTGAGTAAAGCTACCGATATAAACAGGATAATTTTGACAAAGGCTGTTGAATTGAGGCGAATTTACCATCGATTCATTTTGCTATAGAAATAAGCACATTGTTTATAAAATAAGCACCAATCTTACAAATGAGCATTGGTAACCCTGGCTATGAGCGACCACTATAACGTCAAAAGCTACCGGTTGTCACAAAACTTGAAGAAGTTTGTGTTATACAAACAAGATAATTTGGACAAGGGACAATAATTTACAATCGACTTAGAGTTCATTTTATGAAAATATTGGGTCCGAATGAGGGTCAGAACTACGAGATAATCATTGTTATGTGAGCATTCTTAGGGCGGGGTGGATTAGATTCCAGTTCTTCTCAGAACATCAAGCTCTTACGTATCAATGGCTACTCCTGCTCGCACAGAGATTTCAGAGGTGAAAGGTAAAATAAGCTCATAAAAAAAATTTAAAAGATTTTAAATCCAGAATTAAAGGCTGGAGTTTTATTTCAATACATGTGCAGTCATGCATACAAGTATCCTCCTCGTTTGAAAAACAAATTACAAGAATATCTCACCTTTTCCCAGATATACTGTTCCGTAACATCTATCAGCAGAAGGAGCATATTCGATTGTGAAAAATACTTCTCGACCAATCAGTTTCTTGCGAAGAAATTCACGAGCTTGCCATGCAAAAGCCTGAAATAAAAAAATCGAATATGAGATCACAATATTTGGCGTTCCAGAAGTGTGTGTACCAATATGGAGATAACTAATTTTGTTCGCCTACTTTACATCAAGTTGTGTAAAGGGACGGAAACTCATGGGCAGGGGGTATATTCATTTGGCTACCACAGACAGTCCCTGAACTCGTAATAGAACTGAAATAAGGAAAATCAAAATAAAATTATGGCCTAACACACACTACGAAAATACCCAATATTTTGGCCATGAAAGACGTAACTTTTGAGGAAAAACGTGACATTTGAAAAAACGAAATCATGACAGGTGATTTGTAAAAAAATTGAAAATCACGACTCATGACTTTTGGAAGCCTGAAATCAAGGCCCATAATTTTTTTCGTGTGCAAAATTTTCATTCACCTTAGAGATTAGATATTCGTCGACCCAAGATCGGAAAAATCAAAATCAAATTAGATTATAAATTATTATAACTGAATATTATAGAAGATTATCAAATATAGGATAGGGTTGACAAATTTATCCTGGGGGAGCGGAAAGCATGGTTTTCAAACCAGCGAACTCACACAGGGTAATCAGAGGTGCAGTGGCGAGCGTGTTCCTAACGCTTAGCACAATGCGCCACACCGCCGAGCCAATATAAATATTCTAGAATCAATTCAGTTCTCTGTTTTGAAAATCAACTCACCTCATCATTAGTTGTGACAGACTCAGCGACATTTGGATTTGCCCGACGAGCAAGTTTCGGTGCCGTTATATTCGAGAGGTTAATTTGCTTTTCGGGGGGTGGGCCCCCTTTCGGTTGGCCCCGGACAATGATAGCGTCTCCTGATAACACCTGAGAGATAAAAGATAAGAAGATATAAGTATTGATATAAATGACAACAAACTGTGTTAAAGACAAAGTATTTAGTTTTATATCAAATTTCACTTTTTTCAGAAAGATTGCTCAAAGCAAGTCCATTCACAATCACTAAGAGGTAAAGGAGAATCATCTCTGAGCAAAGTCACATGCAACTAAATTAAAATCTCAGAATTTACAGGAAGCATATAGTACTCATTGAAATGGTATGTAATTACAAACAATTAGGTTATTCAAAAGCAGAGGGCCACTAGCTTTAAGAGTTATTGGAAGTGGGCCAGTATACTCTGGTTGCTCAGATCTCAAACTAATTTGAGAAATACGAAAAGCGTGAAAAAGCAGTATTATTGCTCCTATTTTATAATGAGATTATTCTGCTCAGTCACGCTTCAGTGAGTTCTTTTGTGGGAAGATTTGGTACTTTAAATTAAAGTAAGTCTAGACAAGTGGTTATCAAAATTTCCTGGCTCTGCTTTCAACACATTTTCATCATTTATTTTGTATTCCATGCTAGAGAATTAGTGAACTCTTTTGGTCATGGCTTTTGGGAAGACTGCCTCATGGCCCTCTATGGGGGCCGGGAGCCAAATTTAAAAAACTTTGTTTTTATCAGGCATGTCTAAATTATTCCAACTAGTGGCAGAGTTATATTTGAACATATTTTTACCTGCTTGACGATACCTCGTCCTTGTTTCAAAGGTGCAGGAGTCTGGACCTGACCTACGACCCCTTGTTGTTGTTGCTGTTGTTGTTGTGGAATTGACATTGTTTTATTCTTCAATTTAAACCTTACGATTCCTAGATAACTAAATGCTTAAAATTCTGAACGTTTTTTGCTTAGATCAGCAGATTCTGTTAGTAAGTATCAAGGATGCTGAAAATATGAATAGTATTTATTGATAAAAAGTCAAGTACTACTGATGGGGACGGGATTAGGGAAGGGTCACGGGCAGTCGCCCGCCGCAGTAGATATGTCAATCAATCCTAACCCTCACCTGACCGCATCATCCAAACATTACGTCACTACGATGTCACAGTGGCGCAACAAGGCCCTTCAAACTATACAACTGTCATCGAAGACGCGCAGACGAGCACCCAGGATCGAGCAAGCTATTCCTCTCGGTTTCTCGTCGCAAAGATCTCGATATGAGAGAGATCGCTGCCATTAGTGATTTCTTTTATCGTCTGCGAAGATGCCATTTCGGGCGATCGAAGGTATACTTCAACGTACGGTACTTTGGCAAGCTCTATGACTGTATGACGTCGAAGTGAACTAAGGGGGATAGGATTGACATGTTAAAAAATTGTTATGCTATGTCCACTAGAAGTACGATAGGTACGAAACTACACGAGACCCCATCTCTGCATTTCTATCTCCAGCTTCAAAGCTTTTTATTGAAATTTTTGAAATGAATACAGGAATAAGGCTTCAAACATTGATCAGCTCAGAAATCTAAAAATTATATAATTTTTACTAAATTTCAACGTTCGTTATTTTGTATTGAAACCCACAAGTGAGGTACGGTACCGGTACCGGTATACCGGTACAGTTCGAACTGAACATACTATATTCAGATATTAAATAACATACTGACATACAGTATCAATTTCAGAATTTTGAACTCTGGTGAGGCCTGGAGTCTGTGAGGTAGGTACGGTAGCCAGGTACAAAATAATTACAGGTACAGGTACAAAATAATTACAGAATTAAAATACACAAGAAACATACAGGATAATAGTCGAAGCATATAATACGGTAACTTAACAAACCCCAATCCGACCACAACTTTAAACGTACTGCAGTACTGGCATTTTATCATTTACAATAGCCTACAATACAATTTCAGATTTTATTTCGATCTTTTCCTTCAACCCACAGACTCAAGTCCACGCAACTGAAATAAATAACTGGCTGACTAATCCCATATCGACATGAACTTGTAACCGATCCGGCTGGGATAGGCCATATGAATAAACTACCCAATCGGCTTTCCTCTCCCCGGGATACACACGAAAATTTGTATAACCCAACCGGCTCGCTCAGCTGACATTCATTGAATATTATTTACTTTTTTATGACACGTGCATCGACGCGTGTATTTTGACGTCACTACGTTGCTTCGTGGCGACGTTGTGCGTGCCCTGTGGCTACGTCTTCCGTGCCTCCTGGCGACGCAAATGAAAAGCAAGGGGCCATCAAAAATGTGGATTGGTAATTTACATTTGCGATCCGTCAAATTATTAAAACGTTTTACAACGTCTTATGCATATCGAAGAAAAAATAATCTGAAAAGCAGTGCATCTGATTCCGTGGGTAATAATCATGTGCGAAAGGATTACTAGACAGTTTTGGTTTTCTTTTCCCAGCAAAACTTTCATTTTATTGTAATGATTAATTCATTTTCTTGCAAGAATAATTTTCTTTAATACTGACTGAATGGAGTGTATATATATATTTATGAATGTCGGAACAGCCCTTGCTATAATTATTACAACTGAATTGGGGAATTCCCCGCCCAGCAGTTGGTTTTCCGACTATTTAATGCAATCCTAAAAAACTAACTATTTCTATTAGGCGATATTAGCTTAAAATTTGCGCACCTGCTGCCTTCCTTGGATGTGGTAGCCGTTTCTCAGGCTCCCTCTCCGGAAACGAACCCTCATTCCTCATTTTAATGATTTGTACGGTAGGCTACTGACTGTCAAAAACGATAGTTCCCTAACACTAAAGTTTTACTTGGGTGTCACTGCTCAATAACCAAATTCGGTTCCCCGCGGTTTCCCTTCACCAGTAAAAATGTGTGCTGAATTCATTTATTTTTCAATTTTGTATGTTATTTTTTTTGCTGGTTGGAAAAAATGAAATTGACTATGACTATGGCTTTTCCAGTAAAACTGTAATTTTCTTTTTTTTTCGTGTAGTTTCTGTGTTTATTTGATTTTATTTATTTACTGGCTGGAAAAAATAAACTTGACTTGACTAGACCCCCCGCTTTCATAGAGTGTTTCAGGAGAGCGCTGGTCGTTAACGGCTTTTCCTGCTACCAAGTACATTCATCTGGATGAGTGCTTAGCTATTCCTATTCCCTACATGAAGTAGATGCCGGACTCCGCCATACGATTATGCCAGCTCATTGGCATTTTTATTTTACCTTGCTGTTTGTAGCCTACACTTCATACTTTAGTATTTTCGATGTGTGAAAAAAATTTCTGAAATGAGGGGACCGGTTAGTGAGTTCGATACAAAGAATAACTTGTTTCAACACTAATTATCGGCCTATACCGCACTTGAGGCCTGTATATTTAAGCCCAATTTGTCCTCTGTGTGAGAAGCCAACCAAGTAATTATTAGCCCTATTATCCCTATTTGAGCTGTGGGGAAATCGAAAATATTTTATTAATCAGTTTCTTGGTCTTGATCCAACTTCCGTATACGTGGCTTTCCGTATTTGGAAGGTCATTGAAAATCACAGGCTCTCGTTCCGGAAGTTCTCGTGGTGTCTTGGGCCTTCACTCGGGTCGTAGTCTTTGAAGAATCCCCAGTTCCTCTTTCTGGTTGTATAATAAAATCTAGATTATGTGCGGAAATAAAAATGATGTTTCTTATTGTTATGCGACCTATTTACTATTATAGTCTTGCTGTATTTCAACACAAACGTATTTCTGACCAGGGCGCCAACTGTCCCCGAAAGCGGCCCTCATTTCTACTGGTCATTTACAGCTTCATCTCTAATCAGGCTATACATCAGAAGCAATAAACTCATAACTATCTTCATATCGTTCCCGGATTAGAAAACCAGGCATATGTCATTGATTCTGACTCTCTCCATTCGACTAGGCCAGTGATTCTCAACTTTTTCTCGTGGCACATTTTCATTGCCCAAAAACTCGTGTGGCCCATTAACTTAAGAAAAACTATAAGAAAACAAGAGAGCTATGCTCAAATATATGGACACGTAGAGTCACATAATTTTGATGACGTCATAGCGAAAAAAAAAAAAGTAATAGCCTTCTGGAGAAAATTTTTATCTTTAACCACTGAAAATTTCAAAGCAATTGGTCCAGTATTCGAAGAGAAAAGCGACTTTTTAAAAACGTGTCAAAGAACAACAACATAATATTGAAACGATCGTTATGTTCACTACGTGTCCAAAAAACAAAAACTCGTGTGGCCCATTAACTTAAGAAAAACTATGAGAAAAAAACAAAATCTTTCTGCAAAAATAGACGTTTTCACTTTAATAATTAGAATGAAAATTACCACTTAGTAGCAGAAAACAGCTTTATTATTCATTGCTACTACAATCAAAATTAACGATAACGATTGTGCACAAATAACAACAGCAATTTTTAATGGGACTGTGGCACACCTCGAAATCTTTCCGTGTCTCGGCAGTGGGGGCACTGAATCTTGCAAGATTTGAAGAAGCGCTTTCACGATGAATCGGAATTGAAAATGCGAAAACTTCGATTACTTGGCACCAAGACGTCGCCGGGCGATAAGTGCCCACTTATTAAACAGCAATCAGACGGCGAAAGAGAAATTGCGCCATAAACCAACGTAACTTCGTCTTCGGTAAAGTGATTAAAACGGCAGAAAACAACCAAAGAACGAAATTTCGGACAATACAAAAGCTTCGAGGACCGGTACCGGTCCGGGGAAAAGCTGGGAACCACTGGACTAGGCGACCATATTATTTCTCTCCACATAAATGCATATAAAAGATCCCCATTTTTATGGATATATGAAGATGCCACCCACTTCAATTCTGTGACAAAGCTTGCTTGGGCCAACCGTGTGCGAATAAAATATGAAGTGCCCGCCACGCGGGCCAAAATATGGCCCAGTGAATATTTGTTACGTCATCAGACACCATCCGTAAAATACCACACTAACAATAACTCGTGACGTAATAATTACAACAAAGTTCTCTCAGATTAATGTAATGGAAATAAAAAATAATACATAAATTAGGTAAACTTTACAATTATGATAACACAAATTAGGTAAAATAAACAATTGTGATGACACAAAGTAGATAAAACTTAACAGTTATGACGACACTAATTAGGTAAACTTCACAATTATGATCAAACAAATTAGATGAAACTTGTATTCATGATAACACAAATTATGACATCATAAAATAGAAATAGACGTAATCAACTAAACTATGACGTAACGATATAAAGTATTATATTATTTGGAATGAAATTTGTGACGTCATAGGTATACATCTAGTACTACTAAATCATGTGTCACAATACGCTTTCAATGCACCAGTATGACACAATATCGGAAGATAAACGGGAGAATTAAATTAGGCTTTGATGTAATTGATGTACCGTAGTTAGAGGTTAGTTCGACTGACTGCCAATATACCAGGGCTATGAAGTCATATTTTTCACGGCCCAAAATAAGAAAATTAGTAAGTATCCAGTTTGGGTTAGAATTAATAACGATTTGAAAATTTGAATTTCCGGCGTAACCTGCATTGCTAACTGGAATGTTCCATTTAGCAATGCAGGTTACCGCGAAAATTCACTGTATATGTACTAATTTGTTATTTTAAAACGTTCCGGGGTGTTTTTCTCAAATCTCACATTTTTGCATTAGTGGCGGAGGTATTGTACAAAAGATCCGAAACTACTCGCTTAAACTAAGTTGTGGTAATTGAAGTAAAATTCTCGGAGTCGGAACAAAAATTTTGTTCAACATAGAGTCGACGCTAGTGGCCCTGCAGGTGACTCCATAGCCCTGCAGGTGACTAACCGAGTATAATACAAAATAAAAACTTTCAAAAATATGAAATATAATTCCGTACCATGTGGGCTAAAATCGATTTGATGTTTTACCAATACATTTGAAACTCAAAATGAATGATAATAAACAATAAAGGGCGCTACCATAGTATATGAACCAAGATGGCGAGATTCAAATATCTCGTCGCTCTCTAGTTTGTAATTTAGTTTGTGATGAGTGAAAATAAGAGTCATACCCTCCAAAAATAATTTGAAAGAAAACTAAAATTAGACACTGTCTCATTATCGGGAAAGCACGGTATATATAAATTATCTCCGCGGAAGAAATGACAATAGTTAGGATTGATACGAGACTTGAAAAGATTGAAGACAGTGCTGTCAAGGAAATAGCTAGTATTTCCACTAGAAGTATGCATAACTCGAAGCGATTCGGGGAGAATTATGAAGATGTTTCACAGTTACGTCATAATGGGTTCCGACGTGACAAAGCAAAAGCAGCGCAGTCTATTGTTCTATAATTGTTGCGAACAATGATAATTATGCGTTAATAACAGACGAATTCAGTTCCCATTCTTCTCTTTCTGACGTTACAATCGAATAAATATTCCATGTCGGTCATTTTTTGACCGATATCTGTCGTGATTCGACTTCCGTATTCGTGGCCTTTCGTGTTTGGGAGGTCATTGGAAAACACTGGCTCTCGTTCCGGAAGTTCTCGTGGTGTCTTGGGCCTTCCTCTGGGGTCATAATCTTTGAGGAATCCCCAGTTCTTCTCCCTGATTGTATAATAAAATCTAGATTATGTGCGGAAATAAAAATGATAATTCTCAGTATTATGGGACCCAAGAGTATACTAACAGCATACTAACGCAAATGTATTTCTTCAACGTTTTTTCTGGACGAGTCCAAACTTCTCCAGAGAAATTTATTGCCACAAAAACAAAGTCAACACTATTATAAACACAATCCAATAAAGAAAAATATTTCAGCAGTAATAACAGTGATTGATTATTTTTTTTTGTGCGGTCGATGTGCAGGACCGATTAAGGCCATCTCGGCTCCCGACCCTGCTGCATATAAACTCATCATGACCTAGTATAGTATAGTAATAGTTCAAGTCTCGTGTTAATAGGTATACTAATATATACTATCGGTATACACAGTAATCGGTATTACTAACGCGTAATTTACGCTATAATTTTTTATAGTTTCAATTGCTTTTGGCACATTAGTGGTCGTTGCGACAGCTCAAAAATGCGTCTCCCATACTTTTACTTCTGAGTGAATGTGCACGCCCCCGTTTTAGTAATTTCTTCAATAAAAAGGCCTTGTTTGAGAAAAAATCGTTTCATGAATAATAAATAACTTAAAAATTTGTGCTCACGGCGAGGTAACCTTTCGCAATTCGCGATAAAAATTCAGAGAGAGAATCAGTGAATGCGAGAGAATATACAAATGTAGACAGTAATCGAGTGCGTAGTCTTCGCTTTCCTCGTTAGTATAGTGGTGAGTATCCCCGCCTGTCACGCGGGAGACCGGGGTTCGATTCCCCGACGGGGAGCATCTTTTTGAACATTTGTATTAAAATATTTCTTCCGGAAAAGTAAAACGCAAGAGCAAAGGGAATAATGAGTGAAAAAAGTAATGGGAAAAACGAAACGGAGAGTGACTTTGACGCAGGGATAGGCGTATATTTTGGTAGATTTCACGTAAGCCCGTAAAGGAGTGAATTAATATTTGTAAAACACTCGTCTCTCACAGACACGAAAAAAACACTAAACAAGGCACGCAAGCGTGTGTAATTTGACTTAATAACCGTCATAAAGTCGATATACGAGCGATAAAGAACAAGGAAACGTCAGAAAAGAAAAGTTATGATTGAGATTTTTAAATAGATGGGACACGTTTTTATAATCAAGAGGTTGTTACACTGCAAAAATCTAATTATAGAAAATGACTGCATAATGCTTTCACGGAGATATAAAAGGATCTATCAAGACATCAAAGCGAATTACAGAAACCAATGTGACGTCATAATAGTGTACTCAATTTACATCATATCATGGCGTCACAAATTATCAATTACTATGGATTATCTTCTGATGACATCATGGGTATCCGACTGTCGACATGAACTCGTAACCGTGCGAGAGGTCGTGGTACGCCATATGAAAAAGTCGTCCTAACGGCTTTACTAACCCCCGAAAAAATATCCTATTATCGCCTTGGAGTGGAAGATAGAATTGTTTTTAAATTAACCGCGACAGCAGTTGTTATCGGGCGTAAATATTCCGTGATCCTTTCCTTGAGTAGTATGACAGATTGATAAATTAAAAATTATGGCAAAAGTTACCCACCAAACTCCAACACCTTTCCACTCTCCCTCTACTCTTTCCCGCCAAATTTTGTTCTGCGCAACTTCATTGTGATCGACAGTATCCTTTCTTTTACCGGATGTAACCGGTTTCTGTCCGGATGCTTTTTCACTGACGCCGCGATAAGGAGTTGAAGTTTGCCCAATAGGTAATCGATATCCGGCCGATGTCGTTCGTCGTTCCATTGTGATGAAATAAAGAATAATGAACGAATAAATTAACAATATTACCGCCTGTATGACAAAATACACAAAAAACAAACAATAAATCACTTGTGCTAAGGTCTGCCGTGTTTCCCCGAAAATAATACTAGGTCTTAATTCAATTTTTTTCCGAAAAATAACACTAGGGCTTATTTTCGGGGGATGTCTTTTATTTTCACCTATCAAAATTACAGAGTAGTGAATTACGAAATTTTCGAATGTACAAAATATGAAAACCGGATCCATCCACTAATAAATAACACGTTTTTATTTAAAAGAACTGCTAACATGGATTATTAATTATTTAAAACGCGTAGGAGAGATTTCTCGCTATCGACTAGGTCAAAAAAAAAATCGCGCTATCGACCAGGTCTTATTTTAAGGGGAGGGCTTATATTAAAATTCAAGGTAGATCTTATTTTCGGGGAAACACCGTATATGTAGATTTATTTAGGCTGCAAGTTTCCCCAATTTACGGTAGTCGAACACCAACTAACAGCGGATATATATTGTATTTTAAGAACAATCATTGAATAACTATATATTAGTATTTGCAAGCGCGTTTCACAAAAGGTCCCACAAAAGCAAATGCCGGTCCAACTTGAAGCCAATGGGCTTTTCAATTCAATTCCCCATTAAATCATTTATGAATGCTTGAAGCTTTTTTACACATGGCCAGGCTAAGCGTAGCCATGACTTTTCAAATTGAAGGGGGGACGGTCTGAAATTTCTAACTACCGAGTTGAACTGTACGGCTAGCCGGTCCGGAGGCCGGGAACGTGGGTTTTCAACAGCCTTGACGGTCTAAAAAGCGTTTCAAACCACGACAATCGCTATGTAAAAGGGAGATTCCGACCTGCTAGACACCACAGAACACCGACCCGCGGGCTAAATCCGAACCTAAATGGAAAGACCTGGACTCGTCGTCACTATAAACGCCAGAAATACTCCGGACACGATCGCAAAACGAGATTTAGAGACTTCTACGCCCAATTCTGACATACACTACTCAACTTTCGTCGCAGTGTTCTTTTTTTGTTCGTTACATCTGCGATGAGCTAATCATTGTTCACCTAATAGTCAGAAATATTTTTTTAAAGCTATTTGACGCACGAGCGACTCTCAACTGTGCGCGGACTCCTTCGAAATTGTTTCTCGTCGCGAACAAAATGAAAATAATTCAGCGGTTAAAAGGTCACTTGGTAACAATGGTTCTCTTGTTCTTTTTGAACAAAAACTACGATACGACTCTTGTCGCGTCACAATTGAATATTGTTTTGTAATAAATGTTGGTTTGTTACGTGACAGTAGGGGGAATTATGAGTGTTTATTTAGACTTATTGGGCAAACACAAAGAGTATTCGATTCGATACCACGAAGGTATGGAACGCCTTTTGGGAATATTTAATAAAATTTCTCCCGAGAAGCCTGATACAATTTATGCGAAAAATTATGCTTCTATTCTAACAGTTATGGGATTCAATTAACGAAGACCTGTTTCTCTGCCCGCGTTAGCTTGACAGGATGATCTTTCCGGGATAAACAAAAACATGTGAATCCTAATCTCAGGTGGAGGGAACAAAAAGGAGACTCTTCATTACTCGACAACTTTTTATCAACATCACAGAAACGATACTTTTGCTTATCTCAGTTAGGTTATAGAACTGAAATGGACAAGCTAAGGCCCGTGGGCCTAATCCGGCCCGTTGGGTAATTCAATTTGGCCCGCCTGATGCAGCCACAACCAAACTAAAAGCTAACTAAAAGGAATTTGCTGAGATTGCGATTAAATTTGATTTGGGCATGTCGCTTATTGTTTCCCACTTAAAATGGAACTAAATTAAACATGTCCTACCTTCCTCTAATGCAGGGGTCGGCAAACTTCCGTCGTTCGCGGGCCAAAATTAAAGGTTGCAAGTCACTGGCGGGCCGCACATATTTTTAGAAAGGTAAAAACCGAGGGAATGGCCAATGAATCACATTTTTTTCATACAGATTTTCAGCATTGCGCGAAGATTGACCATTTGAATATTTTCTGTGCCGTTAATTGAACCATTTGCACTTAGCATCATCATCATCTTTTCCTCATTTTGTTGCCATTTGTATAATTATATTCAATTTATAGGCTCATTAAACGAGTGATTGTGAATTATATACTTGTTAAATTATAATATAATTCTGTTACGTAAAGAATATAATCATCAATACAGTTGTTTTGTTAATATAATCCAGTGGAACGTCGCGGGCCGGATTATATTGTTCCGCGGGACGGATCTGGCCCGCGGGCCATAATTTGCCGACCCCTGCTCTAATGACTTTTATGTAAAATTATTTTTCACAATTTCATTTTGTCACAGATGTATTTATTTTAAAATATACGACACAATTTATAAAGCTAAATTTCGAGTATTTGAATATGACCGCCCATGATTTTGAACTATTGAATTGCCTGTTACAACAAAAGCATATAACAAAGGAGGGAACAAAGTAACAGAAAGTGAATGATTTATTAAGTAACAATTATATTTACAAAGCGTGATTTTGTGACGTCATAATCGCGGATCTGGTCTCCTGTTTACACAAAGAACTTGAGTCGTTGACAGCTTTAAAGTGCGGGCGACGCTTCTCAAGTGTTGGCCACACAGCAGTAAAAGTTTGAATTTATTCGAAAGTCGTTTGATGCCACTTTCTACCTGACTGAAATTCCCGACCTCGTAACTCATATTATTACTAGGGCTGGGCATTTTCGAATACCTTGTGATTTCAGAATCAAATCGAATAATTTTTTCGAATCGAATCGAATCTCGAATACTTGGAAATATATAATTGTAAGCGACTTTTTTAAAGTAATTGGTCTTCTTAACAAATGAGTTACTGAAGAAATAGTATACATAACTCAGATAGATTACTGAGCGTTCACACCTAATAACAAACACGTTTTATCAATAACTCATTACAGAAAATAGTCATATGTTAGAATCGGGTTGAAAATATATGGCTTCAATTAAAAAAAAATTTGAGAATTCACCTCGACCATTGGCGGAAAGAAAAAAACAAGATGGCGGCGATTCGAAATTAAGCTCTGAACCTATTCGAATAATTCACTATTCGATTCGATTCGAAATGCCCAGCCCTAATTATTACATATTGTAATCTTGATTGTCGCTGCTTGATAACCAACCTTGGTTCTATTTTTGATTGAAATTTTGTGTACAAATTTTATCCTTCCCGATTTCGTACGCTAATGCAAGTATGCTGTAGTAAGACTAAACACGACTATTTTATGCAAATTTAGTATTATTACTGCACACTAACACAAATGTATTTCTGTAACGTTTCGTCAAATCCAGGTCAGACTTTAGCAGACAAGCAGAAACAAATACATTTGTGTTAGTCTGCAGAAGGACTCTTTAATTGCGTGGTATGGACATTTTGGTTGACAATTATTTTATTATGCCGGAGAGCGAGTGAAATTTTAGTCAATCTGGGTTCAGTTATTTGAACACCACGGTGTCGGGCCTGACTTTCCCGACTGCACAGAGTATGAATATAAAGTCAGAGTCCAAATTTTTGTCAATTCGAATTAAGAGGCATCTTTGAACAGCATGCAGTTGTGGAGAATATTCTCGGCTGAACAAGTGTCTTTGAAATATTTCGAATATTCGATAACGGCTCGAATCCTAGAATTTGACATTTTTTTCTGATATTGATATCATTTTTGTAAAATGTTCCGACTCGAATTTTTGACCTTCTGTAGTGGGAAATTAGGATTTAAGAATTATAAAAGTCAAAACTAAAAAGTCTTGTAAGTAAAGAATCCGTTTTAATTGTTCCATAATCCCCGATCTGGAAACTAGAGTCGCAGTCAAAAGTATTGTAAAACCGCCTCCGGAAACAATTTTGATCTGTCCGTAGTCGGGCAGAACTTTCACGACCACATGGTTTTATATTCGAGCGCTGGCCAAATAATCCGAATATTTGATATCGAATCATACATTTCGATTTTGACACTTTTTTGTATTGAACTCATTTTTATAAAATGTTCGAACTTTTATTTAAAACATTTCTGGGAGCTCCAGAAGTATGTGCACCAAGATGGCGCACAACCTGAACTTAGTATGTGTGCCAGATTAGGGTTCAGGTAGTGAATCAAGAATAAGAAATGGTAAGAAGAAGTCTGTTCGAACGCATTCGTCCGAAATTGGGTATTTGCTTACAAAACATTATCCGTCTACATCAGGGGTCAGCTACCTACGGCCCGCGGAGTAATATAATCCGGCCCGTGACGCTTCACTGAATTATAGTAACAAAACAGCTATTTTGAGGATTATATTCTTTACGTAACAGAGTTTATTGTAAGACACGTGTAGACTAAATTAAATTATAATCTAACAAGTATAAAATTTACAATTACTCGTTTAATGAGCCTATAATTTAAATATAAATAGACAAATGTCAACAAAACACAAAAAAAGGTAAGTTGATGCTAAGTTCAAAGGAGCCAAAAATATTCAAATGCGATTTTTTACGATGCAATGCAATGAGAAAAGTAATCTATATTCTATTTGAGAGATGTATCACTGCTTGATTTTCATTATAAAAAGTATCATCCGTTCGGTTTTCAACTTTCTACTAAAAATATGTTCGGCCCGCCAATGACTCGCAAGTCGCAACCCTTAATTTTGGCCTGCGAGCTACAAAAGGTTGCCGACTCCTAGTCCAGGGCTACTCAACTGGCGGACCGCGGTCCGAATCCGGACCTTTCGGGTATTCAATTCGGACCGCGTCTAATTCTTTATTTTGGATCATTAGCCCCACTTTTGAAGTTTCCTTTCATAAAATCACTTTTATAGATTTAAATATATATGGGGAGGAACTATAACGCCATAATAAACAATCTTGATTAGCTAATAATCATTAGTCGACCGAGGAAGTGCGTGTTTAAAGATGCCGAAATATAATTTCTGGGAAAGACCGGACCCAAATATTTTTGAAGTTCTGTATGCGGATCTTCGGTAAAAATAGTTGAGTAGCC